CTTTGTAAATGCCTGCAGCATTAAACTGTAAACTTTTCTCTCCCAGCATACATCCAAAATACCTGAATTCCAAAGGAATGTATTTCTTCAGTAACACTGAGCTCCACTGCTCCCCCAAATTTACTTCAGAGAGTGGTGAGGTAACTGAAAAATACGGCATTAAAAACGGCATCTAAATTCACTGGCAAAAATCATATTGATCTCTTCTAATTTATTAATGTGAGACAAAAATTCTGTTTCAGAATAGGAGTTAATATGGCATACACATGCTTTTATTTCATAGCTGCATTTTCTCTGAACCAAGTTGTTTCTAATATTACTTAATTAAACAAAATTAAATTAATTTCTAAGAAACAAGAGAAAACAGCTTTGTTGAATAAAATGATCTTCATTTTCTTGAAGCTATTTAAATTAAAAACATGCGTCTCTACAGTTGGAAAAAAACCATCCATGGTTAAAATGTTTGAAGCCCATCAATCTCTTTAACCACACAGCTAATGTGTTCCTTCTGTTTTCTTTGAATGAAATCACCATGAGTGGTTAGATGTTGATTTAACATAAAGCAAGTGGAAATGGGTGTTTCCTTAGTCATGTGTAGAATTTATTTTTAAAAACAATTAGCAAGTGTTATGAATAAGTCAATGATTTTGTCATTTCTTAAATAATGATATAGATTATGAGTCATTAAAATTGATTACTGAAGTAAACTGTGCAAAATGCAAATTCATATTACATTTATTTGTTAGAAACAGCTGCAGAATTTTCTTGTTTTATTGATGGGTTTCGGTTTTTTTTCCCCCAAGTGACAGTAAAATCAATTACTTAGTTTAAAAGGCCGGTAATTGTCAAGATATATTTCCAAACTTTTAAGGCAATACATTGGATATTTCCTATTATGGGTTGTATCATTCACAGTTTATTCATATAAATTTGCCTGCAAAATTAATTGGGGATTTTCCTAAACAAAACAAGTAAAATTTTCTCTTTTTTTGTTTTATGTTGAAATGCTAAAATCATTTAGTGGTTTGTTACTTTTCCTGGGGAAAAACCTGAAGTCTTTACATCATAGCAATTAAACTGGGTCTTTATATGAGTGCCCCAATTTTAGTTGATAATAATGCATACCTGTATTTACTACCTCTTCTGTCAGTCTTTGCCAACATTACATCTAATTACAGGTTCATTGATACGTTACTCACAGGAGTACAGACAGATAAGAGGAAATGTCAGTCGCTAGTATTTAAAGTTCAGTCATAAAACTGCAGTAATAAAAAAACATGCTGCATAAAATCTGTGTAAACCATTACTCATGAGGGAACTGACACTTAGGGCAATACAAAATATTATTTATCAAGGTACTGAAACATTTTAAACTAACCTTTTTAAGAATAGGCAGATATAAAATGCAATTCTATGACCAAAAAAAAAAAGCAAAAAAAAATAAAAGCTAGAGCAGCCTGTAAGATCATATTACAGACATAATGATTTAGCCAATTTTTGCCACAAGTTAAATCATCTTTCTCAGATGCATCTCTTTCAAGTACACAGCTGACATTTCAATCTTTTCCAGTTGTTACTGTCCTACACGTGGGCCCTGGAAATGCTAATTGATACACAATTGTGATTATTTTAGAAATTGCTATAGATTTGCTTTTTAGTTTTTTAAGGATATCATCCAGCAGGTTAATGAAAGTAAGTGGAGAGCAATACACACAGAACATACACCTTAACATGAAATATTACAAATTTAACATTAGTTAAAGAGTGGGGATAAAATATCACAAAATATTTTTATAAGAATGTAATATTTCTTCTCATGTTTTCAAACTAGATATTTTGCACTGTTGCAGCAAAGCAAGATTTTAAGGAAAATCTACTTGTTTCTACTTGTCTGTATGGAGTAAGATTCATATTTATAGGGATATGTAAAAAAGTAAATAGTAGGAAGTCATAATGGTGGAAAATTGATTTGTTATAATTCCTTCTTACATATTAATATTCAAATCTGGCAATAAATGTGGCTGAGTAAAAACTAAAGGATCAGATTTACGTATGCTGTGAGTACATGTGTGTACAATTTTTCTTTTAAAGAAACATATGCTGATTCATGTGAAGTAAAATTAATCATTTGAATAGTAGTATTATACTTGCCAAAACAATATACACCTCTGCCAGGTATTCTTATATCTTAATGCAGTTTTAATGAGAATTAATGGAAACATGTGTTTTAGAAACAAATGCAAAAAGGTCTCTGCATTTTTAGCAATTGTTTAAAACCCAGTTTTACAGCTTGCCATTGTAAAAGAGTTGTAAAACTCCATCTCTGCATGTAGAAAGAAATATGATTCCAGAAGTTTTTGATGAAAAGAGGGAAAATGAACTTCAGTCCTACATTTGAATCCACATAGGTGAATTCACTTTGACTTCTGCAAATATTAGCACAAAGCCTAGTTCTGCCGTTCTTTTCAATCTTTTTGTAGGCAGAAAAAAAATTAGAGAACCCAGCAGAGTTTTTTTTTGTTGCAAACAGAAGAACTTCTCTCTCTCATGTCCTCTCAAAGGAAAACCATCAACCCTAGATAATTCTTGTATTATCGACAGTTTTCTGGCTAAATCCTGTTCTCATCAACTAAGCAAAAGTCTGTTAGCTCAGGGGTATCACTGCTTATCTGCAATTACATGAAAGAAAGAAAAAGAGAGGAAGACAGAAAGAAAGAGAGAAAGAAGGAGAGAAAGAGAGAGAGAGAGAAAGAAGGACTCATTAATGATAAAATTTAAAACTTTGGTAAAATCATAGCAAGTCAATATGTATATATTTCTGTGACCCTCTTTTAAAGGATGTTTCTGTAACAGATGCGTCCAGATCTTTCAGTGAAAATCAGCTTCTCATAAAATACATTAAAATGCCTGTATAATCTAATTCCACTGGAAATGCATTACGGGTTATTTAGGGTTTATACAGGTATTTATAAGGATAGCAAGAAAGGGCAATTGGCTATATTAGGAATACACCAAGAACTTAATAGAGACTCTGCCCTTTTGCTATATGTTGATCTCACAGAAACCCGTGCTTTTAACTATATATAGTAGGTACAAAACTGTTACATAGATGATCTGTCCTTCCATTCTGTTTGAGGCATTTTGCAGGTTTAACCCAATTGAAACTGATCTTAGGAAGGTGCGCTGCTCACTGTGGTAGAACTCTTCCTTTGGGCCTAAAAGCTTGAGATTGTTCTTCCACTCCCCAGTCCCGTGGACAGACACCCTGAATTGAGGAAGGCCAGCATGGCTATGGCATGTCCCTACTTCAATGACTTCTAGATATTCACCCCCAAGACTGTTGCTAGCATTGTTGAAAGTCTAATGTGGTTTTGAAGAGCCCTGGACCAGCTCTATGGTTCTCAGCGCTCCATATTGCAAGGTCTTCAAGATCCAGTCTCCTTTTATCATGTCCTGTTTTTCTTAATACATGCTACAATTTCTAAACACTAACTGCACAGGTATGCAGAGACATCAAAATTATTAAGTAAAAAAATAAATCATTACCATTAACAAGGGCAATGATCCTGATTATAGGTGGTGTACTCTGGATTGTCAATGTGCTTTGGACCTAAAACAGTTGATCAAGCCCCAAGTGGTCCGGCCTAGTGCATGCGATTTCGTGAGTAGAGGCAGCTGAGAGGATTTCATTTCAGTGCTGCAGCGAGGGAGGGGATGGCTAAAATCCCCAAACAAAGGGAGGGGGCAGTTATCAGGTCAAGCCTGAGCTGCTTTGACCGCGGCTGTCAAAGCTCCCTCTGGTCACCGCAGCCCCGGCGGGCGCGGAGCGTGGGACGCACGCACGGCCCTCGCCCCCCGCTGGCACCGGCCCTCGCTAATGCCCAGCTGCTTCTCCCTGACCTTGAGAGCTGGGAATTGCCCATGGTGCACATCCTGAAAGGTCAGAGCGGATTCTCAGTGTTTTGCGTCCATGCAGACGAGAAACACAAACCCTACAGCACCAGACCTTGTTTCTAAGCGCAGATTTTTGGGAGAATGCAACAACACTACTAGACTGCGTTTTGTATCCGAGCACACCAGTGAGTCAACTGAGTATCCTTTAAATCGTTTCCAAGTGCTGTTTACCCTGCCCTGACATGTTTTCCCTAACGCATCGCTGTGCCTCGGCGCGCCGTCCCTGCCGGGCAGAAGCCGGGCCATGTCAGTGCGAAGGAAAGAAGGAAAGGACCAGCGGAGCCGTGAAGGCGCTGGGGTGCCGGGACCCCCCGTCTTCCCGCCCTGCCTGCCCTCTCTCGCTGCTCGTCCAGCCGGTGAACGATTTTTGGCTGATGCCGGGGAAGGGGAGGCGGGGGACAGCCGCTGCGGCGCGGAGAGCCGGCCCGGCGCGGCGAGCCCAGCCGGCCGGGCAGCTCCGCTCGGGCCCTCGCACCAGGCGGGGTGCGCGGCATCGCTGCGCGGGCGAGTACGGGCACGAAGGTGCGGCGGGGACGCCTCCGGCCGGCCGGCCTGCGCGCCTGCAGCCGCCGGGGAGGCAGAGGGAGGGGGTGGCGGCAGGCCCGAGGCCCCGGGCCCGGCCAGCGCCGGAGCGGCAGCGCGCAGCCGGTCTGCGCGGCCTCCGGTGCCGAGCGGCCGCTATTTAGCCTTCAGCCCCCCCATCCCCCCCAAATGAATGGAGGGCGGGGGGGGGACTGAAAAAAGACAGGAAGGGGGAGATTTTTGTCCTTCGCCGATGCCGCTCTACGTGATAATATGTTTATATGATTAGCTGAGCCCAGGGGTGGGAGCGCAGGGAGAAGGGGTGGAGATTGGAGGGGGAGGAGGCTGGAGGTGACTCCAGTTCAGAGAGTCCGTGTCAGGACTTGGCGCTCCCCAGCCGCAGACGGAGCGGTGCACGAGCACGGAGAGGCTGCCATACATTCATTGGGATTTTTTCTTTTTTTTTTTTTTTTTTTTTGGTGTGCCGCTCTTGCGTTTTTCCCATTACCGCGCGCGTTACTTGCTCAGCGCCCGATCTCCAGTCGTTGGCGGGGCAGCGGCACAGAGAGGAAGAGGAGAAAATCTGAGGAGGGGCCGGCTCCGCACTCCGCCAGAGGCCAGAATGTCATCCCGGGAGATGTGAATCCGGTCGGTGCGAGCGACAGAGACACGGAGGAGGGGGTCCATTGTAACATTCGAGTTGTTCCCCGCTGCCCCAGCTGCTGGCATCGCCTCCTGATCGCTTCACAGAAGGGACTCCCGAGGCTGGGCACACACACTGCACTGCGCCCGTCCTCCTCTCCCGAATTTATTTCTTGTGTGCGTGCGTGCGGGAGCCTGGCTGCATCGCGCTTTTGCCGCGGAGCGGAGTGTGGGGAACTGCAGGAAAATGTTGACTTAGACCGAGAAGACCCTCCCGACCGGCTGCGTGGAGAAGAAGCCGCCCCTGCTCTGCGCTGCCCCAGCCCTCCGAGCCGCAGCGCCGGCTGCCGCCCGCTCCCGCCCCAGCCCACCGCCCGCCCGCCCGCTCCCGCGCCGCCGCCGGGGCCCCGGGACTAACTCCGCCGCGATCTCCCGCAGCCCCGCGCTCGGCGGGCTGACCCGGACCGCGGGTCCCGCCGGGGACACAGAGCCCGGCCCGCCTTCGGCTCCCAGACATAGGTAAGCGGAGCCCCGCGCTGCAGCCTCGCCGCGCGTTCCTGCCGGCGCCTGCTCCCTGACTCCTGGATGTTCCCCTGCCGAGCCGCCGGCAGGGATGCACTTACTTTAGGGTCTGCCTCGCCTGCCGCTGCCGCGGGGCCGCCGCCGGCGCAGCGATGTGCCCCTCGGTGAGCCGGCGGCTCTGGGCGCGGGCAGCGCGGCGGCGCCGCTGCTCCGCACGGCCGCCCCGCCGCGGGGGATGCGCGCCAGGGTCCGCCCGCCGAGCAGGCCCGGTGCTCCGCGGCGCGCAGCGCGCAAAGTTGCACCCGTTCGCTAAATAATTACCTGTTGCGGGTTTATTTGTGTAACTCTGCCGAGCGCCCGGCTCCCAGCCCGTGCGGGGTGGGGGGTGCCTGTGGGAAGAGGAATAAATTACCCTTTGTCGGCTGTGGGGTGAGAACAACTTTTTTTTTTCTTTTTTTTTCTTTTTTTTTTTTTCTTTTTATTTCTATTTATTTTCACATGTAGAAATCTGGGGCCATCTGGAGACAGAAAACAGTGTGTCATGAGGCACCGTTGCTGTGTCTGGCTCTAAAAATAACATCTTGTTGTTAGTCTGCGTCGGCCCTGCTGGGATTTGAGCGCGGTTTGTCAGAAAGTAAAGAGCTCTGCTGGTGCTCAGGTGTGTTTTCTTTGCCCAGAAATGCCCCTGTGCGCGACGGAAGGAATCCTGCGGAACAAATGTTCTGCTGTTTGGCTTCCTCAGACGCCCCGGCTCCCTCCTTTTGTTGCTTGCCACGAAAAGAGGTGCCATTTCGCATCATTCTGCAGAAATTGTTTGAATTAATGCAAGTGTGAATTCTTACCGTTTGAAGGAGGGTATTAGCATTTCAAAGGTTTCTTAGCTCCGGCTCAATTGAGAAAACTTCAGCTTGTCTTCCATTTGCTTCCAAGAAGAGGCCCAAAGGGCAGTGGGAATTGTAAAGGGGTAAAATGGGGAGGTGGATTTGGGTTATGTTCCTGAACTTTTGCTGTTTTGCAATTATGCGAGTGAAGAACAAGGTCCCTCCGCTGCAGAGCCCTTGCAAGCGCTCGGACAATTACACTCTATTGATTAATGGTTTGTTCCGAGCAAAAAAAAGTGACCTTTTATGACAGGCACTGTGGCGTGGTTTCTGATTCCTCCTCTCTGGGAGGGGGATTTAGAAAGTGCTTTCTCCCGCGCTCTTGCTCTGGTATGGCCTACACGTTACTGCGTGGAGGGATGAATGGGGAAGACCTTCTAATTACTTCAGAAAACAAATGAAATCTTGTAATAAAAGACCTCTTGGTTCCAGGCCTTTGAAACAAATATGCTTCCATCCTTAATGGGTGGGTAGGCTGGAATAATAGATATTTTTATGGAGAGTTTTAAAAGAAGTTTTGATCACCACCGGCCATATGCTTCCATTTCCTTCTAGAAAAAGTGAAAATGAGTAATTCTTGTAATCTCATTTAATCAGTGATACTGTGTTTACAAAGATAACCTAATTTGTAGTTAGTGTTGCCCTATAATAAATAATTCTCAACCAGCTATGGCAGGAGTGCTGTTTTGGTGGCTGTGTAGAACATTTATCGCATTGCAAGCTGTTTTACGAGACTACATATTCATAGTTTTTTATTCTTTTGTTACTATTTTCTTGAGTTTGAAAGGGGATGTGGCCTAGCCTACACTTTTATTACCTTTGCAAATCAATATTCATAATCCAGTAACCCAAAAGCCAAGCAAAATCCAGTTATCCATCAATAAGTTGGGACCTTTTCCAGGGACCAGATGTTTCTTGGGAACTGTATTCTGGTTTATATCTCTGGCAAAAAAGAACTTCCTAAATTTTCCTTACCTATTGCTTCTTTCCAAACCTTTTACTTGAATGATATAGATATTTTATGTTTTTAAAAAGTTGGTTTAAGTCATTGATATGTAGCATTTGGTCTGTTGTTTGGGTGGGTTTGTTTGTTTGTTTTAATTATTTTTTTTTCTTCTGATTCACCATTTGGGGGATGTTTCTTTTACTGCCATGAAAGTGATGTGCCTTTAGAGTAGGATATTCAATTTCAGGCTTCAATTTCCTTCCATGTAATGAAGGAACTGAGTATATATGGTATGTCTTGGTGAAAAACACTGCAGCTGATCAAGTATTCTGTTATTCTTAGATGGACACGGCTATTTGGGCATTTTGTAAATAGATATATTTAGTGGTCCTAAAATTAGATAATTACTTTCAGGTAATTTCCAGCAGTTTATTTACCTAATGTCTTCAGCTGTCTGAAGTAGTACCTTTTGGTGGTGTAAAAGGAACATATTGATGTAATTGCCATTATCACACTTAAGTTGCTGTTAACTAGTCTGCTTTGAATGCAGAGGGCTATAAAGAAAGCGCATTATCCTTTCAGCTGTTAGGGATAATCTAAAAATTGTCTTGAAAATGTTGCACTTTGGTTTATGTGACGGGCAACCCCAAATTCGACAAATCTCTAAAGGTAATAAAGTAGTAAAAAGAAGATTTTCAACATTCAGATGACAAAATTGGACCACTTAGAGAAAAATTAATGTGCTGCAGCAGCACTTCAGCTGCCATTTTCAATCACTGTGGGTTACTACGTGTTGGCAACAGTAAAAAAGCGTAGACATTCAGATAGCTCAGGGAGCTGGTAGTTGGGGGAATCAGGATGTTGGATCATGTGGGGTAGAACAAACCAATTACTTCAGGTTTTGACTTGAGAATTTCCAGTAAACATTTTTTTTTTCTGGCTTTTGGCTGCCCTGCTCATTAATAGACCAACATCAAAGCAGGCAACCAAACTTCCAAATGTTATAAAAACTAATGTAAAGATACAGATCTCACATGTAGTCTTGCAAGTCTTAATTTAAAACAAGCAGTTGGAGTTTTTATTGCTGCAATTTTCACAATCAGCAGAGACATTAACACCAGGCTTCTGGGTGTTTCCCTTCTTAAAATGAGCAAGAGGAAAGCTTTAAAAAAACCAAAGTGTGCTTAGTTAGTTCTTATTTGATCACTTCAGAAGCTTTCTCAATGTTTTATTTATCTCTTACTATTTTGAATGTGTAAAGTCAGGAAAAGGGGTTACTCAAGAATCCCAGTCCATAGTAAGGAAGCACCTTATTAAAGTTTAAATAAGCAAGGTAGTATGGTCTTAGGAGTTTGTAGTCTTTATGGTTAATCGTATGTAATAATATGGTTGGTTTTATTCTGGAAATGTGATATGTAGACATGACATTTTGATGAATATATATTTTTTAAATGAGAATAGTTGTGATGAAGAAAATTTCCTACAGTTTTGAATTACAGCTTTTTTTTAAAAGTTCATAATTTCACTTCAAGGTTTCGGAGAGAGAAATCTCTAGTTAGGCAAAATATTTATCAAAGTTTTATTTGAAATACATTTCTAGATAGTGTGTCATTAATTCATATAAATCATAATAACCATGCAGTAGAAAGCATTGTTTGACATCTAGAGAGCACAGAAATGCAATCATAACTTTTTACTGAAATTTGGACTTAAAGTTTATGTATTTCCAAGCTGTTGCTCATCCTCTGTCCACCTAAAATGTTGACATACCTGTAAGAAAATACTGTTGCCTTGTACTATGGCTCCTGCTGGAGATTGTGCCATGCCTAATATTAATGACAAATAACCTACCAGTAACACTTTATATCAAAAAATGCTCTGTGATTCCTCTGCATTTCCACTAAGGAATATCTGTGGATGACTGATTATACTGGAAGTAACAAATAGCGATTTTTACCTAGTCAGCTGCAAGTGAAGAAGTTAAACTGCGTGTGGTGTGTAATGGAAGTCATATCCATGCACAGGTAGACAAGCAGTCACTTATGAACCAAGACAGTTCAGAGCACAGGCTAGTGAAATTTGTAGTCAGTCCTGTTACTTGGAGTTGTCATCAGACTCTTTCAAAGCATTTTTTAGGATTGATGTTTATGATGTACAAAAATGATTTGAAATTGCGAGAAATTCACCTCCTTAAGTATTTATGTGCAGCTTTTCAACTTAAAAGCTCTCTATTATTTCTAAAAACACCCTCTGTTTGAAACAGGTAAAAAATTTTAACCATCATGGTTGTAATTGGATGTCAAGAAACCTGGAAAAACAACAACCTATTTTAAGGCCATTCTCTATACTGTTAACAATCATGTTTAATATTTAAATAGTTTTCAAAGATAGCTTCATTTTGTTTCCAACAGTTTTTAAAATAAAAGTAGCAGGTGGTTCTGGAATATTGGTAACTTATCTATACCTGGTGTAGAAAATACTTCTAGTCTTTATTTAGCAAATACGATTCCTTTTAACATTGTTCATTTAAAAGGTGAAGGATGACAGGCTTAAAGCCCTCTTCAATAGGTAATTTTCTAGGAGTTCATGTTTCTTTCAGCCTGTAATATATGAGATGTGTTTCTGCAGCATGGACTGGGAAAATTGTGTCGCTTAATATCAGCAATTTAGTTATAGAAATACACTTGCTTAGTTAGTGCTACGATCTGACAGCATTCTCTAGATGCAAACTGATAGTTAACTAGAAATAGATTCCAAAAGGAGGAAGGAAAAAAAGTCTTCAAATTCAGAATCGTAGCACCTCCAAGTTATGGGTTGTTACATTAAATGGAGCATTTTATGGGGTTTAGAAGAATATGTAATATGCATATGTCATGAATTCATTCTTTCTGATTTTCATGAGGTACTCTAATGATTCAGCCAGCTCTAGCTTGCCATTTACCCAAGTTATTTAGAAATGCAGGACAGTAAAAAGCATTGCAGCCTGACTGAAGCAAGCACAATGCTCAGCACCTGCAGGTAGAGTGCAGTCTCTAGCAAAATGCTGTTGATTGTTACTCTGGCACAAATCAAGCTTAAATACAGTTTGCTTAATTACAACAAAAATGCTTTTTTATGAGTAAGACATTCCATGTTTGGGGAATGTTTTGTGTGTTGTCTGCTAAGTAAAATCCCATCACACTTGTATACGTTTGTTCAATTATCAGAGCAGCTAAGAGAAGGAAAAAAAATCAATTTACCCTGAAAAGCACCAGAAATAAGATTACCTTGGCTAGTAGGAACTTGCCAGCACTGTCTGAATTGCTTAATATTATCAAATGTTGCCATTTTTCATGTTCAGTAAGAAGGATATTGACTATTCTACATGTCCAGTTCTGCTATTTGTCTATTTCTTTATAAGGTATAGGCATGTCTTATTTTTATTCCTGCAACAGCAGTTACAGATAAATCGGAGGATCTAACAATAACTTTATAAAATAGATGGAATAATACCATTCACTGGAGAAATAGTATTTACTTGAGATAAGTGATAACAACTAGTTTTTTCACTTGTTGTTCTCGTAACAGACAAATGTAAATACCTTAGCAGACATTTCAGAGTGAAAGGCGAGAGATAAAATGTAATTACTTTTCAGGGTGGCTCTGACGATGCCCATGTTCTTGTCTGTAACAAAAAAAAAATATCTTTGCTCATCACCTCAGAATATGAAAGCCATTTTTACTTCTCAATATAAAAATATTTTCTGATTTCTAATGTTGACCTCAGTATTTATCTTTAGCTCTTCTGTGTAAGCTGGAATCCTTATAGCCATGAATTCTAGTTGCTGTTATCCAACGGAGCATTTAATAGAGCACCTAATGGACTCTGCTCCTGTATTTTTCTTGAATGCATAGCATCTTGCTTCATTCAGTCACCAAAACTAACTTTGCTACAAGGACAGGCAACACGACAAGTTAGAATCAATGGACCATTTGTAGGTCACAAAGTCAGTTTACTGGAATTTCAGAGGAAACTGGTTGAAAAGAGAGGACAAATGTCACTTTGAATAGAGATGTTTAAATCAGACTTCTGCCTTAGGGTAAAATTTAGGTCTGTTGTAGCCTAGATGTAATGTCTCCCTCTACAGAGCACAGCATTAATCATGGCTTGACAAGTGATCATGGGCTGAGAGAAAAAAGGGCCT